ACTGTGGAACCGGTGGGCGGTCAGAACATTTTACTACTAACAGAGATACAAAAGTGGGTGGTAAGTATAAAAAGGTTGACTACCCCGGGGTAGATTTTTGCCTCATACATGAATCAGCACTCTCTAAGTAATCAACTACAACTGTATGTACTGGCCTATTATACACTTTTCCGCTCCAGCTACTAAATTCAATATCCTAACATTTTATTATATTATTTAATTTTGCTGTGTACAATGGAATGTAAGAGAATCTGTCTTGGGGGATTGAGAATGGGAAGGAGGAGTTGCACAGCTTAACACCTGCTCTCATCCTGATAAAAGTCATTCTTGAAACCTACTTTTTGCATTTCTTAATAGTGAAAAGAGAATAGCAGCTTAACAGAGGGAACAACAAAGAATACATATGACTTGTATTCATGATATTTAAGTTGGTCATAGGTTCTTTAAATGAAGATGCTGGAATCGCATCCTAGCAAGCAAGATTCTTCTAATGTGAATTGTTTCCATTGTTAACCAGTACAATGTATCTAAAGAAAGAAGTGGGACATTCAGAATTAAGCCATTTGACTTATTTATATTTTAAAAACTAGGCTGGGGGAATCCATCTCATCTTACTGATGTAGTTAATAATAACAATTATTGCTATAAAAAGAAAGATCAAATATGCATCTGAATACAGAACATAACTTTAAAGTTGATCTAATTAGACTAATAAACAATTGCTTTTAATATCTGATAATTCGTGTGACTGTGTCCTAATTGTGCAGATGCACTTAAGACTCTTTCCCCAATTTTCTGTATTGACCATTCCTCAGCGGCCGGTCCACTGCCTGACCTATTTCTTGGTTTTATATTGTCTGCTAGGATCGCCTGTACTTTGTCATGGAGTATGTGAATGGTGGTGACCTGATGTATCATATTCAGCAAGTAGGAAAATTCAAGGAGCCCCAAGCAGTGTGAGTCCATTTTCTGTTGATTTTATGAATTTGTCATAAAATATTCTGCTTTAGGAAGATGTATCTTACTCATATTTTCTAGTTTTTTTTGTGTAATTGACACTGCTTCACATGAAAGCTAGCTTCAAAAACTCATCAATATTGCATAGACTTAAAACTACTGGGAATAATTAAATTCCTAATTAGCATGGTCTCTATTAATTTCATACTTTTAGAAATCAAGTAATTTTTTTGAAAGGAGCTGCATTTATATTATTGTATTATGTGTGAATCATAGAGGAAATAAGGTGTAGTGTGAATCACAAGCATTTTAGAAACAAGCTGGCACTATTCAGATTGTCTAAAAGCAAACTAATATCATATCATTCCTTGTGTCTAATCACACACGGTCAAATAAAGTATTCTTTAGAACCGGCAAATGCCACCTCTGGCTAGCCCCAGAGTGGGGTAGGAATGGAGATTTTGCAATATCCTTCCTTTGGAGTAGGGTGGGAATGGAGATTTTGCAGTATCCTTCCCCTGCCATTCCCACTAAACCATGCTCACCAAGCCACACCATGCCCACCAAGCCACGCCCACAGAACCGGTAGTAAAAAAAATGAATTTCACCAGTGATCTTGTCCCATAATCCTGTGTAAGCTTCCTTGCTTTTGCCCAGTGAGATAACTCTGGAGGTATGCAAGTTTTCCTTCACATATCGGCAATGTGAACATTTAAATTAGGGGCCTGTTCTCTTGGAAAAGGTTCTGTTTGCAACCTAGAATCCGGGACAATCCGGATTTTATAATAATGCAAGGCTCCTACAACAGCTGTCAGCCTCCAAATTTTACAGTGTGTCAGAATCTATAAGTGGGAACCTGATGGAGAGGAGAAGACCAGTCCATACAACCCTTCTCTATGAATGGCCTGAAGGAACATTTCTGAATGGATGGTTGTAAATTATTCAAATCTTGCATATACAGGTGAAGTTCTTTTGATTAGCAAGAGTCTTTTTTCTCTTTTCAGATTCTATGCAGCAGAAATCTCAGTGGGCCTTTTTTTTCTCCATAAGAAAGGAATTGTTTATCGGTAAGTAGAGCAGCTCTAACAACACAAGTTTGTCACAGGTTGTAAAAAAGAAATGTTTGTGGGCACAAATGGGGGAAGAAAGCACTGAACTGGGAACACATATTTCCCCAAATAACAGAACACATTAAACATGTTTATTTTTATTCACAGTTACTTATTCAATTTTGTGCACTAACATAAGTCTTCAGTGCCATAAGATTTGCAAAACATATAAAAGGCTTTTTTTATAAGCATCATAAGACAAAGAAATGTACCCGCATGAGTCTATTGCTCTCAATAGATCTTCTAAAACCATTGGGATATAAAGCAATCGTCAGATTTGAGTTGTATTTTATACATTTAAATAAAATATCATCACAAGAAATGCAGAAGTGAAATACCCCAAAGCAGCAGCCTTGCAGATAAAATGAACAGTAGCAAAATGAAGACGATTTATCTTCATGGACTAGAATGCTTGACCATGAAGCAAATTTTATAGACATTTGGACCCCAAAGCCTATCCATTTAATCCTAAATCTGACTTCACTGAATGAAGTTGATCTGAACAGGACTTGCCCAATATATCTCAATAGGAAGAGAAAGAGAGGTACGTGTTTAAGACATACAGTAGTAAAGAATATATGTACTGGTAGCTCAGGGTTGAACTCTGGAGTCCTTGGTGCTCTCTGAGCTTGGCTGTTTCATTACCCAACTACGTAACATCATCACTGTGAGTGAATATAGGGTTTGCTCCCTATTTGTATACAGTACTACAGTACAGGGGTATTTAAGATACACCGTTTGATCTGTATAGTTATATAAGCAACCCATGGCAACATGCTCCATTGTGCCCCTCAATCATTTCCCTTGGCACCTACAAATAAGTTGTCTGTAAGCCTTCTCAGTAGGTGAACAGGTTTGCCTAGGTGGAAAACATGTTATTTGTGCTATCCTAGTTTAAGTTATTTCTTGCAATGAGACGGCCACCAGCATTTCTGACAGCTGATATTTAACTTTCTTAATTGTTGTGATTTTTCATAGAGATCTGAAATTAGATAATGTAATGTTAGACTCTGAAGGACATATTAAGATTGCAGACTTTGGCATGTGCAAGGAGAATATGAGTGATGGAGTGTCAACAAGGACCTTCTGTGGGACTCCAGATTATATTGCACCAGAGGTATTTATTGTTATGTACCATGATCATAATTCTTCCAGAAGATAATGTACTTTTGAACAATCAATCAGTGCTAGATTTCCTAACATGATTGTTTACTGTTGATGAAGGAAATGAGAAAGGTGATATATGTTGAAAAACTTACTCAGGTTTCCTGCTGCTCTCCAGTTAGTAAGGAAAAATGATGGGGAACTGGATGAAATGACTATCACTGTCAACTCTGAATTGAACCTAGTTGAAGCCATCTTTTGCTGCTTCATGGTTGCCACATACGCTGGGGGGGGGGAGTAAATGTCTTGGACACATAACAAAGAGCTCTCCCATGGGAACCAAGGTCATCCCAACAGGTGTCAGTTGAAGGAGGAAAGAGGTGATCAAGGAGTCCACTAACTGATTTGATTGGACAGTGTGACCTGTGACACATGGGGTGGAAAACATTTACTCCCAGGAGACAGGGAGTTCTAGCTTCCTAGTTCTCTCAGCCCAACCCACCTCACAGAGATGATGTTAAGGTTTAACCACAGGTAACAAAGTTTGTAACAAAGGTTGTTAAAGGCAGAATAAAAATAATTCCTTTGTCAGGGAAATCACTAATCAATGAGAAATGGGTTTGAAAAAATACTTGATTTCAAATTTGAATTTACTGCTATGAGATCCAGAACTCTCTCAATGCACCCATGTAGTTTTAATCAAAGGATGCATTTGACTAATATGAGTGCAGTAGCACAAACGATAACTATCGTTATAATTCCAGAAAATGTGCTTTTCATTGTAGCTTTCCATAAGGCCTGATCACCCAATTTAAACGATGGTTCAGTACTGCTGACAAAAAAAAATTGCTGCTGCTTCCTTAGTGGGAGCTGAATATATATTTAGTAGTGATATATCTTAAGGGTCAGTTTGGTGAGGGGGGGGGGACATCACTAAGATTTGTTGCTGTGCAAGCTCTATAGACAGTAGGCAGAATCAGATGCTCCCTTGGTCCACTGAGTAATTGTCTCTTTCAGTGCCCAGGTTCATCCAGGATGGCTAACCCAGTGATCCACCCCACAATTGGATGATTTCCCCATTGCACCTGAGTGATGGCAGAAAGGCCATTATTTTGGGCTTTCATTTCATTTTCCATTTTCCCCTCTTTCTGGAGCTTATGAAAAATCAAATCCATAGTGATAATCCAGCAGAGTTTATAATATGATCATGGACAGCAATATGCTCATCCATTTTGGCCTATTTATCTCTTCTTCAATGTATAGAAGATAATTATAGAAGATAGTTATAGAGACAAGTTTTCTAGAGAGGTCTCATTTTTGCTGAGACTTTCTAGGACATTGTCTCTACTATGGTATAGGAAAGGGTTAGGTAATTTACAGTATGTCTTGGTCAGCTGTTCAGATAACATAGTCAACTGCAGAAATAGAGTCATGCCAAACAGATCCAGAGCTATTGGGACAAATCTAGTTTCTCCAAGTTTAATTGGCTAGGCCAGTTCTGGAAACCTGTTTCCCTTAAAACAATTAAGTTTAAACACCACCACTTCAGACACGGTACTTTATAATATAAAAATATCCATGATTTCGGTATCACTCATTAAAAATAGGTTTACTTTAATGCACTGAACTATTAGTGTAGTTGATGTTGTATAGTGGTACACTTAGATTTCTGTTTTTCAAAAACAGATATTTTCAAGATATATTACTAAATCTTTTTATTGGAATTCACAGATTATTGCCTATCAACCATATGGAAAGTCAGTGGACTGGTGGGCCTATGGAGTACTTTTATATGAGATGTTGGCTGGTCAGGTAAGAAAGGCTAGGTACATTTCATGAGGTACGCCTTAAACAATTAAATGAGTTAGGAATGAAAGACAAAATAAGACACCGTAAAAAACAACGGTTAATAGCTAAATTTCAGGTTAACAGACCAATTGAATATCCTCTGGAAATTAAAACTGCAAGATTTCAGTGATACAATGGCTATGTCCATGCATCATCTAAATAATATTTTGTCTTAAAATATGATGTGAACAAATCAGTCTTGAAGATCAGGCGTCTTCAAACTTGACAATTTTAAGACTTGTGAATTTTTGCTGGCTGGGGAATTCTGGGAGTTGAAGTCCACAAGTCTTAAAGTTGCCAAGTTTGGAGATCCCTGTTGTAAATGAACCAGATAAATAATCTTTAATTTGTTGACCAATTCCTGGTGTTTTTTTTCCTTTTTTTTAGCTACTCTTTGTCTTGCAACTCTTCAGATCATGCGGGACAAAAGCTAGAAATCCAACTATAGTATTTTATTCATATATTGTTCCCAATCCCTATGCTGGCAACAAATTATATTTTCAAATACTGTTAAGTACTGAAGTATGATTTACTCACATAACCCACACATTAGCACATCTCACATTAATTAAAAATAAACAAGCCATATTTGTTGCAAGCTGTCTATTAATAGAAAAATAACTGATAGGCTTCATTTGTGGAGGATGATAGATGAAGCTGAAAAGAAGGCCCCCTATTAATTTTATTTTTTTCAAAGATCATAGAAGAAATAGACTTTGAGGAAGCTTAAAATAAGCTTAGGATCATACACAAAAATACAATACTCCAATTAATTGGAAATCCTTTAGAGCTTGATCATAATCTGCTCTTTGAATTATACCCCAAAACAGACAATGTTTCAATTTCTTTCCCTTCATATAGTTACTGTATAGTCAACAGCTCCTTTTAAAAACTTGAGCAGCTTCTTTAGATTGAGATTGAGAGGGTCGGAACACAGCATTGTGGTGACATTGGATTCCAAAATTCCAGGTAACTTCATCTAGGGACCGCAGATGCTAAGCAGCAGGGAGATCATCATTTTCCAACAGTCAGGGCATCAGATATGAGGCCAGCAGCACACTTGGTGGGACCGCCAACTAAAGCTTTTGATGTAGCATAAAACATTGTCTCTTCTATTCCCACCCCCCACCCCACTCCCCCAAAAAGGGAGGGAAGGTTCAGTCCTACAACTCAACAGAATGTTATCCATCCTTCCCCCAAACTCCTATCTTCTCCAGTTAGCTTGATCAAAGGGTAATCTGAGCCAGCAGGAAATAACAATCTGCTTTTGAATAAATGTTCAGGGTAAACATTCATTTTTTAATGTCGTGTCAACCTTGCTTTCTTTGAACAGCCTCCATTTGATGGCGAGGATGAAGATGAACTCTTCCAGTCAATAATGGAACATAATGTTTCCTATCCCAAAGCAATGTCCAAAGAAGCTGTGTCCATCTGCAAAGGGGTAAGGTTTGTTTATTCTATTGATTACTGCAGTCAAATGACCATATCAAATCAAAACATGTTCTTGTCGTAATAAAGCAAAATAGATACAATGTATAAAGTTGCTAAAAAGGTATTCAGTAAAATGCTTGAATGCATTTGTTACCTCTGCAATTAATCCTAGTCCTTTAGATGACTTTAGTTATGAACTTGTTAATTTATTTATATCCTTTAGTTATATCAGCTGCCCCCAATTAGAAGCTCTAAATACTGATCCAGAGATGGGGAATATGGTTGTCTGTCTCTATTTAAGGCGACATATATGCATTTCATTTCTGAGTACAATATTCAGTGAAATCACCCATATTTTAGTATAGAATCTAGGAGCTCGAATTGTGTTCTTTCACTGGCTCTGTGCCAGACCCATTATTAAGTATTTTTTTTTTCTAAGTGGAATGTCTTTATTCTTGGCCAACCATTTTAGGAATTTAATGCCAACTTGAGCATCAATATCCAAGTTCTTCTGCTTGTAAGGTGCACTGATTTGAGATGTTATTGTATTTATTTTGAGTCATATAAATTTATGATTGCAATATTTTAACATTTATCAGTTACTGTCTGGGTAAAGTAAATTTTGATATTTCATTAAGCACTGTTGCAATAGAATTGGCCTAACATATCTGGATTTTTTTAAAAATATTTGTCACTTGGGTTCACTTTTATAGACTCAAAATAGCTAATAAAATGTATTCCTCCCTAAGAACCATTTTTTTAAATTAAAAAAAAATATTTTCAGTTCTCACTAGGTGCTGGTGAGACAAACGTCTTATACACTACTGATAATGAAAATAGACCTTTTGTCTGTTTTTCTCTTTTTGTGGTTCACACCAGATGATTTCCTTAACAAAAACAGATATTGCTTTTGTTTGAAAACATGGATAATGGCCGTGCTTCAGAAAACATTTTTTAATACAAAAACTACATATGTGTGAAAAGGGATGTTCATCTTACACAGTCTTATTGGTGATAATGTAGTCCCAACTACAAAAGTAATTTTTTTAAACTTTAAATAGCATGCATGTTTTTCATGATTTGCTCTGTAGATAGCTATCTTTCTCTTTTCCTTTTTGCTACAATAGTTAAAGCTTATGCTTTTAGAATGATATATGAGAGAAAAATTGTTTTTGTATCTAAGAAGGACATCTATTTTTATATAACAGTGGGAAGAAAAAGGTCTATAAATATACATCCTAGTAAGTACTTTTTCTAGCAACCATTGTCTAATCAAGTGAAGATTTTTAAGTGATGGTAGTGAGTATTTCTTTAGTGCTTCTGGGTTGATGAAAAAAATTGAATTTCTAGCAAAATGATAAAATCTGCCTTTAATCTGTATTTAGACAAAACAGCACCCAATTTGGAAGGTAAGAATATAAGTAAGAATTATAGACATTTGGATTACAGCAGCAGATGTTAAGGAAAATAAGATGACTTTATTGACTGTGTCAGGAGTCTCCAAACTTGGCAACTTTAAGACTTGTGGACTTCAACTCCCAGAATTCTCTGCTGGCTGGAGAACTCTGGGAGTTGAAGTCCAAAAGTCTTAAAGTTGGCAAGTTTGAAGACCTCTGGAATGTGTGCTGCTCCTCTCAGTCTGAAAAATCTCATTGTATCCTTTATGTGTTTGATTTTCAGTTAATGACTAAACACCCTGCCAAACGTCTGGGCTGTGGGCCTGAAGGAGAGAGAGACATTAGGGAACATGCCTTCTTTAGGAGAATTGACTGGGAAAGACTGGAGAACAGAGACATCCAGCCTCCATTCAAACCGAAAGTGGTAAATGACATAGACAGCAATGTTTCTTTCAGCATTTGGTGTCTGTGGTCTCATAACAAAACCCAAGTTTTATTTTATTTAGTTATTGTCTTTTCAAGTCAAAAAGTTCTTAAGCAGATGCCAGTACTGCTTATTATACACTCAAAACAAGTATAATAAAATTCAGACAGAATTTAAAAACACCTCTTGGAAGATACTTAAGAGCAGGGGTGGACTGCTGCAGGTTTGCATGGGTTCAGGCGATCCTCTAGCTAAGGATCTGCCCAGTTTGGCGAACCCGCAAATCCCACCCCTAGCTGGCCCTGCCCACCCCTCCCCTCCCAGGAGTCTCCATGTGGCCTGTTTGGGATGTCAGGTAAGTACAGGGCCCATACGGAGGCTCTGGGAGGGCAAAAAGTGGGCTTGCCAGAAATTCCAGAAGGCTGCAAACAGGCCTGTTTCCAGCCTCCGGAGCCCGAGGGAGGCCTCTTTCGCCCTCCCAGAGGTCGAGGAAATCCCTTGGAGCCTGCTGAGAGTGAAAAATAGGCCTCCCAGAAGTTCCAGAAGGCTGCAAATGGGGCTTGCATGGTTTCGGGCAATCCTCTAGCTACAGATATGCCCAGTTTGGCGTACCGGCATATTGGCCTGTTTCCAGCCTCTGGAGCCTGGGGAGGCCATTTTCACCCTCCTGGGGACTTGAGAAAAACCTCTGGAGCCTAGGGAGGGCAACCCCCCCCCCCCGAACATGGTGCAGGAGGCCAACTAGGCCTACCCAGCAACTGGATAGAGAACCTGTTGCTAAATGTAGTGAAGCCCACCCCTGCTTAGGAGAATTGAAACAGCAGCTGCTGAAAGGAGTCAGCAGTCTGAAGAGAGAGATTCAGACCCAGAGCACCATCAGAAGGAAGGTGTATTCTCTCATGTTGCAGTCCTCTCACCTGTAACCTAGAGAAGGATCCCAAAAGCAGCTCTGAATTACAGAAGAGGTTTATGCAATAAGCTCAAGCAGAAGAAGCAAAATTAATCCTTTCAAATCCCGTGAGAGATCCTTGTAGCACGACCTAGGCAGAAATTATGCAGGAATAGGTTGAGTGGAACTTCTATATATGTATGTACGAGCTTGAAGCGTTCTGGTGAAAAATGTGTCCCATTGGATAGCACTTCAACATATCTCATCCAGCAATTTTTTTTCCAGTGTACAAGCTAGATAGTTTCAACTTTCTATTTTGATATTAATCAAAATAAAAGGACTTTGTAAATCTTCAGAGAATGGAGATTGGCCTGTGATGCTAACTGAATAACAAGAGTTGGAAGAGACTTTAGAGGTCTTCTAGTCCAAACCGCTGCTGAAGCAGGAAGACTATACCATTTCAGATGAATGGTCTTCTTAAAAACCTCCAGTGTTGGGGCATCCACAATTTCCTGAGACAAGTCATTTCATTGATTAATTGTACCCACTGTCAGGAAATTTCTCCTTAGTTCTAGGTTGGTTGTCTCCTTGATTCGTTTCCATCCATTGTTTCTTGTTCCGTCTTCGGGTGCTTTGGAAAATAGGTTGACACCCCACTTCCTTGTGGCAGCCCCTTAGATATTGGAACACTGCTATTCCATGCCATTCCATGGGATTAGAACTTAACTATACATTGGCCCTTCTAAGATTATTAATAAAGTCTTTATTATTATTTATTATTATTAATAAAGTCTTATTCTTTTAAAAATGGAGTGGGAATGTATTCCATATCAGTTAGTGGAATTAATGGATGCCTTCTAATCCATTTGTATGCAGTCATCCTTTTTTAATTTCCTAAGTGAGATTGGCTTGAAGTTGTTATCCTAAAAGACCTGTCTTATTTGATTAACAGATGGCTGGGAGTGTAATAGGAAATTGCATAGTTCAGAAAGTGTAGTTTGGGTAATGTTTTCCACTTTCTCAAAAATCTGTCCATTTAAATGGTAGCGCTTGGATTCAATTTTTCCTTTCCAAGTAGTTAGACTTTTTCTGTTGAAATATATATGATTTGACATTAAAAAAAATCCCACATGGACATAAAGCACCAGTAGCAATATATTTCTAAGATTAAGTAGTACTTATATTTTTGAAGAGTTTGATCAAATTATTTTTCATATAATCACTAGGTACTTGAAGCTATTTTTTTTCTGCTTTAGTGTGGGCAAATAAAGTTGATCTTGAATTACATTTTGTACCAAGATGGGCTTTATAAAATGTTGGGAGGAGATGTAATACCATTTTAAAAAATGGAACAGAATAAACTGGGGATGTGAAAGAAGTAATCTGTAAAGCATTTATTTTTAGTGTGTGGGCTGGAATTCAACCATTATTCCCATTATGTTAAAACCTTTTTTGATTGCCCTTTGAAAACACAACAAAAAATCCATAGTATGTATTATTCGAACCATTTTGCAGTTGATTGCTGCAACCAGAATTTAAGAGAGTGCATTTGGCAGAAAAATAAGCGTGTTCATAACAAAACTCCCTGCAAGACAGCTGTGAGCAACAGCAGTTACCATTTCATGTATATTTCCCCACCAAAATGGAGTATTGTCCTCTGAATGCCAGGGTTCCTGTTTGAATGTTAGACTATTATAGCAAGAACAACCCGGAGGAGAACACAGTCCGTATATAAATCTACCATCAAGGATCAGTAACTCGAAACAAAAAGTCTGTGAAATTCATTTTTAAAGGATTTTAAAATTATGGCATTGCATGTTTTTAATACAATGAGATTTGATTTTATCTAAAATATAATACATCTTGAAGTATTTCTGTTGAAATTATTTTCCTATGGGAAGAGCCTAACCAACCAGGATGGAGACATTTCTACCACCCATTTCATTTCATCTCACTTGGTTTAACATACCACCACCCCAATTTGTATAGACTTCCCATGATTCACCAGCCTGAAATGTTTCTGACTGGTAATAGTATTCCCAAATAACTGGAATGCAGAAATCTTACAATATAAATATTTTGTGCATACATAACTAGGTCCTAGAATGTACATTTGAATAAAGATCTGTAATGTGCAAATAAAAATATTGCATATGAGCTCTAAATACATTCACCATTGTTGAACCAGTCTGCAGAAGAATTCTTACTTTTCATATTCCCAGTCACCAGGTTTAGTTTTCATCCACCTGAATGTAATACCTGAGACAGTAGTGACTTTTAGTATCAAGAATATTGTTATAGCCCTTTCATTCAAGACCGGAAAATGTGCTTCCCCTCTATGATCCTCAGAGTAGGTTAAGAGTTTTTAACCTCAACCTAGCTTCTGTTTTACTTAAGCTTGCTTTCCAATTTGTAATTATTATTTTTTAATTGCAGTGTGGCAAAGGTGCCGAAAACTTCGACAAATTCTTTACCAGAGGACAACCAGTATTAACGCCACCTGATCAGCTGGTCATTTCTAACATAGATCAAGCAGATTTTGAAGGGTTCTCCTATGTCAACCCGCAGTTTGTACATCCCATGTTGCTGTGTGAAGTATGAAAATAATAGACTCAGGAAAGCCCTCCTCCCCATTGGGAAATTGCCCTTATCCCTGGAGTTTTTAGACCTTTGCCTTGTTGATTCCATTCAGGTCTGGGAATTGTAGGGGTAACAAGGAAGGGAAGATGCCAAGGAACGTGTGGACATAGAAAATTACCCAGTGTATTTATCTAGGAAATCACTGATGCTTATAGATTACTGCTAGCCTTTGTCATTTTTATAACTTTGACTATTTTTCTCTATCTCCTGTACCTCTGAAACTTCTTAAACAGTTAATAATGAATCTGAGACTATCATGTGGGGTTAAGGAAAGAAGAGATGAAAATGTTGAGTTGACTGAAGAATAAGGGGCCTTGCGGGGAAATGTAATAAAGGGAAATCCAGAAAATTTTATTCAATATTACAGTTGGCCAGATCTATGATAAAAACAAAGATATGAACAAATAAGGCTCATAAAAGTTTTTTAAATTACTTGATCAAGGTAAAGGTTTCGTGTAGGTTTTCAATATAAAGTTTTCAGTATAAAATAAAAATTATGTGCATAGGATGAATACTAACTAGACCCTGTGATGAACTAGCTCCAAGGTAAAACTGCATAATACTGATATATGTATTATTTTCAATCTCCATGAGATTATATTATGATCCAGGGTGCCAATTTGCTATTTAATTTACATCACTATTCAAGTTTATTGTAAAGCCAGTTTTAATATTTTATCCTAAATATTTCTTAACTGGGCTCTGAATCTACACATCCCTAACGCTTCGATTTATACTTATTTATTTAGTTAATTGCATGAATGGAATATAAAAAGTGTACAGTAAATTAATAGAGATGTAGAATTCAGAGTCAAGCCTGAAATCGTTAAGGAATGTTTCTAAAAATAATTTCAGCTTTTAACAGATTGGTTTAGAATACTTGGAACCACAGAGTGAAAACGCAACACAAGGTTTCTTCAACTGCTGTTGGAAGCTGTTGAATACATTTTTGAATATGCATCATGCAATGAATTTTGCATGTTTAATGAACAACATTAAGTGAATCTATATTATGAGTAATTGTATCACCTGTGATACATATAATACATATTATAATAAGACACAGCTGTGCTAGATGAGGGAAGGTTCTTTGGGACGAACTTTTTAGCAACAGCTTAATGTTTTACAATTTTGTTCTGTTTAGGATTTTTAAAATTCTGCACCTTGTTGTTGATAGTTTAGGGAAATATGTGCTCTTCTCTGCTTATTTTTATGTAGTTCTGCTGCTAAATTATCTTAAAGTGCAAGGAGATTTTGAGTACAGTGAACACAATGCACACACATGTGCAAAGTTTACCCATTCCCAGCTAGTATGTGGAGCTGCTGGTGCAGGTTGGGCCAGTTCCCCTCATTTCTTGCTGAAAAACTAAATCAATTGTTTGATCTCAAGATGTTTAAAAAACAGTTATGAGGATTATTCAAGAACTTGAGCAGGAAATTTGGAGAACAATCAGATACCTGTGCTTTTTTTTTTTTTTTTTTTTTTTTTTAGTATGAGGCTTTCTTTCAAGAGGATGCTGGGCACTTACTGCATATCTATTACTTTGAAGCAGGAAAACAATATATTAGAGCTATAATCAGATATTTCATAGAATTTTACTCCCTTGCTTTTAAATTAGTTCATTTCCTCCCCTCCCCCCAGTATTTCACTTAAATTTAACCCATTTTAAAGGTCATTAAATAGTGGACCTGAAATTCTTGCATGTAAATGTGATAGGCTTTTCCTAGTTACGTTTTTTTTCTCTTCATTTCTGTACATTTAGCTGCCAAAATATGTGCATGTAAGTCCTTGGATGGCCCATCTGCTTATCAGTTTTGCCACACAAAAATGCATTCCCAAAACGAAAAATATTCCACAAAATTCATTAGAAAATGTTTCCAATTATATTTGAAGATATATTTTTTTTCATACCTGCTTAGAATGTGTGAAAATCCTCTTCGGAAAACTCTTTCTTTCCTGTGCATATTCATTTTCTCCAAGGATCTAGGCAAGGGTCATTTTATTTTTATTTTTGCCTTTCTTTTGCGAATCTTTAGGATATAAAAAACATGCACAAGAAGCGACAAGTGAACAGAACACACACAGAAGAAAAGTTTTCAATGTTTTCAGAATTTATTAGAAAGGCTATTTTTTTTTTAATACAGGCTGTCAGAAGGCGTGCAATCATGACAAAATAAGCCAGGTCCTCATACATGATAGCATGTATTTTCCTCTATATCTGTGTGCCAAAAAGTATCTGTAGGAGTGACCCTAAACCTAAACCCCAAATAAACCCCATATAAGCTGTGAAACAAGTGTGCTACCTGGGAAAATTGAGGATACTAGTTTTAGATGCCATGTTGTAAACCGCCTAGGTATGATCACTCTGTGAGATAGGCAGCCATATACAAATTCAATAAATAATTAATAAATCAATAACAAGAGCACTGCCATCTCTCCAAACATGTAATGAGATTTTTGCATGGGATAGTTAATAGTTTTGGTAAGCTTTGTGCTGCGCCTTGTAAAAAATATCCCTGTTATTATTACACTTCTTAGTCCAATTTCTATATTTAGTGTTTCAAATGGACACAAAGAGATAAATAGGCCTGCAAAAATGCACCACATCTCTTGATCAGCTGAGAATCTACTAAAGTAGCCATGCCCTTGGTGAAAACCACAGCACCAACAAATATCTTAAAGCAGGAGATACGCATGTTGTTAAGTAGATGTAAAATTGGAAGTTGCAGCAGCGTGTGAGAGCTCTGCAGAATTAGTTTTCTTTAATAGTATAAATACATTTAAATATAACAAATATTTATACTTATAATAACCAATATAAAGAAAGCAGTCATTAAAGATAAAAATATGGAACATATTAGATAAAACTTAATTGACATCTAGTTCTCTTTGCCTGTTTTTCGTGACATTGCCAGTTTTATAAAAAGTTGTCCACATTTTGCTTTTTTAAAATTAGGCTGAGCCAGAGCCTAATGGAAAACCTCTGGGGCACAGAACAACTCCCAGTCCATAAACTGGGCATTTAAAGCTTTATTTCATTCAAACACACTTTAAGTTACTGGAGAGATGCATCTGTCAGGGTAATAATATCTGGGGGAACATAATGAAAAATTACCATGAACACCCTAAGTAGAAAACCTTTCTTCAAGAAACTAAGGATTTTGTTTATAGAATATCCTAGTTTGCTTCAAACTCTTTCAGTAGATTCAGTGGTGGGATTCTACCGGTTCGGCCCGGTTTGGGAATTTTGGTAGCTCCAAAGATCTGCTGAGAGTGAACCAGTTCGCTCCGGCCTGCCCACTCGCCTCTGGGTTATACTTATCTATATTTCCTTGTTTTTTAGCCCGGCTAAAAAACGCGGCAGAGTGGATTGCTACGGCTCAGCTGTTCTTTTGTGAACTGTGCATGCGTGCGCAGCATGCGTCAGGCATGTCAGGTGCACAAAGTGCGAGCTCAGCGAACCGGTTGTTAAACCAGCGGGATGCCACCCAAGTAGATTGCTTTGTATGTAAAGCAATAACACTGCTATTAATAAGTGCCAACATTCTGCATAACATTTCCACAGTGAAAGAAACAAAATGCCAAGTTCCTCTTGTGCAAAATATGATGATTAATTTATTAAGTCTGGGATATTTGAGTATCTTTATCAAAATGAGATACTGTGACATATGATGCAGACTCTCAAAATCTGGAGTATAGATTTGCAACCACCAAATAATTTGTTGCAAAAATGTAAATTATGTAGATTTGGAATATATTACATGGGAAATAATAATTTCAATTAAATCCAATTTAATTTTGTCCCAGCCTATTGTTTTTTCCCCTAATTCCTATCAATTTGGATAGCATAACTTCCCCACTACAAAGCCTTCAAAAGGCTGCAAAGAAAGGAAAGGCCATTGCTGAAGAGGGCCCTGATTTGCATGTTGAAAGACTGTGGTATCATCTGCCTCGTTTCCAGAGAATATGGAAACAATTCCTAGATAATTGTTTTGCAAGTGATGGGAAATATTGTCACTCTTCGACCCTAGAAAATAACTAGCTCCTAAAGCTGGCAATAGTAGACTAAATAGACCAGACAACGCACCGCATGTTCTTATCCAAGTATTAGATAATGAGAAATTAAATTTTATTTATTAAAATTAAATAAACAAATATGAGAAGTTGCTCAAGAAGGCACTTATGTCAAAATAAACAGAATAACAGATTTGGAAGGGACCTTGGAAGTCTTCTACCCCAACCCTCTGTTCAAACAGGAGACCTTATACCATTCCAGACAAATACTTGTCTAATCTCTTCTTAAGGTGATCATAGAAACTTAAATGTGTATTAGTTGCCATAGACAGTAATAATGATATACACAATTTATGCTATGCAATTATGTTTTGGTCCCCTGTCCAGTGTTTGTTAGATGTTCATTGGTGTTATAACAGATTCAGCAGCCTTCCCCACTCCTCTGCCCTCAGTCTAACTGTGATGTTATCGTATCACATCTTGAGGGAACTGAAGTAGGGAAAATAGCTCTACAAATGGAGTTGTCTTCTTTCTAATTACCTCGGTTGACAATTCATAGCTGATGGCAAGAGCCAAGATAAGAAGCAAACAAATAAATGCAACAAAGCTACACGCATGCACGCACGCACGCACACACACACACACACACACACACACACACACACACACACAGAGTATAAAAATGCAACACAGCAGTGACCCAGATAATCCCTATCCTATGAGACCATCGTTCTTGCCTCGTGCTTAATAGCCATTGATTCTAACCTTTGGCATTTTATCCTTCAGTTAAGATGTTGCGTTGAACTGATGGGAAGTCAATTGAGTCATTATGGGGGACGAAGGATCACAGTCAAGATGGTGATAGACAAAAAAACAGGGTTTTGATCGCTTAGGCAGGCTGCCTTCTGTACTTTTTTTTTTAACTATGAAGATGCTTTTGTGCTCCATATCAGTACAATCAATTGCTGACTTGCTGCAGTATTAAAAAAAATTACAGTATAGGAAGGCATGCTGCTTAGGCCTAACTGCTTGTTCATTACATGGGTATGTCCCCAAGAATTGAGAAATCCTCCTTGTCTCTTCCTTATAAAATGGGAAATATTACAGGTCATCCTTGACTTAAACACATTCATTTAGCGACCATTCAGAGTTACAAAAGCATTAAAAAGGTGACTTATAACAAGTCCCCGTGCTTATGACTGTTGCAGCATCCCAACATATCAAAATTCAGGCACTTGGCAAGCACCATGTATTTATAATGGTTGCAGCATCCTTGGGTCATGTGATTGCCATTTGTGACCTTCCCAGACACGCAAAGTCAATCTGGGGGAAAGCCACATTTGCTTAATGGCCACATTAACTGCAGTGATTCACTTAACAACCATGGCAACCAAAAAAGGATTATAAAGTCAGGCAGGATTCACTTAACAACTGCCTTGCTTAGCAATGGAAATTCTGATCCCAGTTATGGTCGTAAGTTGAGGACTACCTGCACATTCAGCTTTGCCAAACAAGGTTTTGAAAATTAATTGCAAGCAGTCTATTAAGATAAGAAATTGACCAAAATGCCTTTTCAAATAAAATGCCTAAAGAGCTTGGTGCACAAAATGAATGAGCATAAATTCTGAGGCTTGCAAGGGAAATCCTCCAAATATTAGTGCAGCGGCATAATTATCCTTTTTACACAGAGCCGAGGTGACGCAGTGGTTAGGGTGCAGTACTGCAGGCCACTTCAGCTGACTGTTATCTGCAGTTCAGCGGTTCTAATCTCACCGGCTCAAGGTTGACTCAGCCTTCCATCCTTCCGAGGTGGGTGAAATGAGGACCCAGACTGTGGGGGCAATATGCTGACTCTGTAAACCGCTTAGAGAGGGCTGAAAGCCCTATGAAGCGGTATATAAGTCTAACTGCTGTTGTTATTGCTATTGCTACACAGGTAGAGAAATAGTGGGTGGTAGCTCAATTCAATAGCTTCTTGGGATTCCAAATTTAGCTAGGAGCAGTTGTGGCCCTCTGGGTCCTCTCAGCAAGACCAAAGTGCCATGCTCTGAGATTGTCCTGTTGCCAATAAAATGACTATATTGGAAATACATTTTGGGCACCATAATTAGGCACACAAGAAACCAGCTTGCTGCAATTCACATTTGAAGGCATTCTCAGGATCCAAATGGCAGCACTATTAAAGGAGGTGGCAGATTAACTTCAGCATTAAAAACTTAAATAACAGTGGAAAGATGTTGATCTCTTTTAAAAGAAACCAGCAGTTTCAAACCCTGAAGTTTTGGAAAGCATAACTTACATCATTGAGAAAAATAATCCAGGAAAGTCTTGACCTATACGCTGAGTTGGCTTATCTTTGTGACAATTCTGACCTTTCCCTTTGCATAATTGGTCCCTAACGAATTGTCCTAACATTTGAAAAAATTGACCATTCGCCATCATAATTTAATAATTCAGTTAGCACATACAGTCCAGGTTTATAACAAGAGGATGATTGGGCTTAAAACACAAGGGTTCCCTTTTCCAAATCCTGGCAAATGTGTATCAAGCTTATTTAATGCATTTTTGAATCAAGTATAATTTGAGAAAAGATTAGAAATTTTCCTTCCCTATTTCCTGGACCTGGGGAAGACTTGCATTGTCATATCAGAGATGAAGGATGGATACAGGATCTTGACAAGATCAATCAGTCTTTGATCATTAAACAAATACTTCAGTTTTAACCATAATGCACCTTTTAAAAAATACAATCAACAGATCCATGCACACTTTTTAAGGCCCCTCTATATTTTTCAGTAAGATAGGAGAAATTATCTTCGTTACATAATACAAATGCATTCCTTGTTAAATTTATGTAGATAAATATGCACATTCATTTGCTTTAGGCGAGGTCTGCTGAACAAAACTGCAATACTTTTTGTCTTTGGCCAGTCCCACATTACTCTAAAGCCTTGTATTTTTTAAAAGGCACAGGATGTGGAGGTGACAAAATTTCTTAAGCAGAATGGTAAACCCAGAGCAGATGTTGCTTAAGGTTTTTTCTAATGAAAATGAATTAACCCAACAAATAACTCCATTACCAGGAGCACCTACACAAATGCACATTGCACAGATCCCATATATTCCCATTCTTGCTGTTTCCCTATTGCTGTGAAGATGCTTTCATTCATGAAGAAGAGCCCAGCACATTCAAGCTCAAAGATTTGTCTGGTATGAGACTTTGTCCCCACAAAAGAGCATCGGTCCTTAGCAATTAGTATTAAATAAGAAAATAAATGAAGAGGTATTGAAGTCAAATTGGGCTGTTGCGATTAGTAATCATTAAGAGCCTCACTCTCCATGAATTTTTCTAATCTCCTTTTCAAAACAATCAGCGTTGGGTGTTGCTGCATCTTCTCCCACATTCCATACTTATATTTGTGTTGTGGGATGACTTTTCTTTTTGTCCTCTATCTCCATAAATGGTGGATGCTGATAATATGCTCTAATATTTTGAGGGAGGAAAAACAACCATGTCTCCCTAATCACCTGCTTCAGCTCCTGAGTAACTCTAGACACCTCTTTCATCTCCCACCACAAAACAGTTTGGTTGCTTGGGCTTCTCTATCCTCCTACTAAATTTGTAGGAATATTTGATTTAAAATCTGAATGCTGGATTGCTGGCATTAAGACACTTTATCATTGGTGCCATAGAGTTTGTCCTTGCAAGGCAATAGTCGTGGCAAGTGTCTCCTCCTTCTTAGCTCTCTAAGTTAGACCTGCTCTAATTAATTTAGGCCTATCCATTTGCTTTTTAAACCCTTCAGATTTGGGTTTTGTCTCAGTATCTGGTTCAGGATGGCTTTGCTAGAGCAGGGCTTTACAATTCCTAGAATTTAGCTCCTGAATTAAGTCCCTCAAAAGCAATTTATAGGGACTCTAATCCCTTTGCTTTGTTTTTAGTTATTAACTAATTAAAGAGTAGCGCTTCTCCTCACCCAAGTGCTTAAGTTCTGTGTGTATTTAACTTCCATTTTGCTGCTTTTTCAGTCGGCTTTCTAGAAACCAAAATAGATCAATCAACATAGCAGGTAGGTTTTCCTGTTTGGCTTAACAGTATGTGGAATTAAAGCAATCTTTATTTGACTGAAGAGCTAAGACTGTATACAGTATCATCGATTTAGGAAGTATCTTTTCACAAATCAAAGTATTGGTTCGACATCAGAATAATCTTGTATGCAAAATGAGACCGACGGAACATCTTATAAGAATACACTTTTGTAGGTTGTCCAAAGTAATACTTTGATATAATTATGGCATCACCCCAGCCCTCCCTCTGCCCCTCTTTCCTGCCCCCTGTTTACTCCAGAGGGATCTGACCAATGAATGTAGGAGCACAACTCAAGTGTTTAACAGAACATATTGGGCATGGGCTGCTTGTGAGTCTAAGCTTATATTGCATGAGTCAAATGTATTCATATCCATTTAAGAGTCCCGAATCAAACTTTATACGTCATTTTAGAGATGAAATATTTTATTTTCAATATAGAAATTGGGGGGGGGTGAGGGTGGGAAAGAATGAAATTATATTGAGTACTAAATAGTTATGACAGCTGTCATTGCATCTGTAAAATGTGTTAAATTGCAAAAATTCCATTGCAATTGTTTTCAAACCACCCTTAAAAACACCCCCAATTGTTTATTTGCAATGTAAAAAGCAAATCCAAAATCACAATATCTGAAATATTTAAAATTGACAGTGATTTAATGCCACTCATTGTTTTATCACTTTATCAGTAAATAGTTGTTTCAATGAAGCTTGGCATGTATACCACTTTATAATGCCTGCCATTAAAAGGTGTCTTGGGATATGAAAATGTTTACAGGTAGTCCTCAACTTACAACAGTTCATTTAGTGATCGTTCGAAGTTACAGTGCCACTGAAAAAAGTGAGTTATGACCCTTTTCCACACTTACGACCATTGCTGCATCCCTTGGTCAGGTGATCAGAAATTGGATGTTTGGCAACTGAAATGTATTTATGATGGTTACATCATCCTGGGGTCATGTGACCACCTTTTGGGACCTCCTAACAAGCAAAGTCAATGGGGAAGCCATATTCACTGAACAACGCTGTTAGTAACTGAACAACTTCAGTGATTCATTTAACAACTGTGGCAAGGAAGGGCATAAAATGGGACAAAATTCACTTAGCAACTATTGCTTAGTCAATTATGGTTGTAAGTTGAGGATTACCTGTAGTGGAGACAATATAGGTATTTTCATAACTAAGTTACAAGTGTGGGATCTAGGAATAATGGACTCCTTTTTCTCAACTCTGCCAATGATTCCCTTTGTGGCCTTGGGCATGGTATGAAACTTTCTGCCTCAATTTCCTCATTTGTAAAATGGGGATAATAATTATTATCCTCACAGTCTACTCTGAGGTCTGTTTGGTTATTATTCTTGCTGCACTTCTAAGGTTAAAAAAACCAAGTATTAAATTTTTTAATAGAGAATCCAACAATTTACATATTTTGCTGAATATGCTGTACTCTTTGTACTTTTTTATACAACTTTTAATAGTACTAGTGGTAAAAAAAATGCATAGCCCAATATGTGTCTCATATATGATCTGGAATATTTTAATTCTTGCCAAGCAAAGTTCTGTGCAGATGTTGCAAGATGCAGCGTTTGCTAAAGTATGAAGCAGTTTTTCTATTAAAGGGGTTCAAACTTTGCATAGGCAAAAGCATAACAGAGTGTTCTAGCATGTTGACCGGATCAAGAAATTGGACATCATATATTTTAAGGCAAGATTTCATGAAACACAGAAGTTGGGAGGATTTTTGAAGGATTTTTGAGGATTTTTGAAGAAATTGAATCACTTTATTTCAAACCATAAGCAAACTGCACATTTACATCATCATAAAAATTAGTGTGACAAGACAAAAAAAACTGGAGAACTGAGTTTTGCTCAGAGGTAATTGGGTGTCTTCTGATCATTGTCAAAGACTGATTTGATTATTCTCAACAACTAATGTAAAGAATATCATACTGTGTATTGAGAGACAGCCTGAATCCATTTTGATTTGATGTCCAAATTTTTACAAAAATCACAGGGAATTTCTCCTATGCAAACCTCATGACAATCTCTATGAAAGAGATTTTGGGGTAAAGTATGCAAATAACATACGTACATCCACCCGTTTTTAACAAGACACCTCTTCTCCCCTGAGTGTGCCTCCAGCTTTCCACTGCAATCCATCTTTCCATCTTAGGGAGTGATTAAGCCTTTTGCAGAGAGCCAGTTTGGTATAATGGTTATGGCATGGAGCTAGAAACCAGGAAACTGCAAGTTCTATTCCTGCCTTATGCACAAATCAGCTTGGACCAATCACTTTCTCTCAGCCCTAGGAAGGAGGAATTGGCAAATCACTTTTGAAAAACCTTGCCAAGAAAACTACAGGAATTGGCCCAGGCACTCTGAGAATCAGACATAATTGAACAAAAAAAGCAAAAAAGCTTTTTGCAAGTACAGACACCTTTAACTCGGTCTGAAAATCTATAGATGCACCCACACCCCTCCCTCCGCTCCAGATCCCATGTGGATTGGAATCAAAATGTTAACTTTAACCAATTCATGACTATCTCATTTACGATAGATAGATTGCTTATACTTAATTATTATAAAGAATTTAAGCCTAGGATTTGTTTCTACTGTAATCAATGCCCCAAACAACAAAACTTCAGAGCTTTTATTTCTTTTTATTGCTTAGAAG